GCCTCCTCCCCATTTCCCATTTCCCTCCTCCTCCTCCCACACATTGCCTCCTCTCCCCACTCCCCTCTCCCTCTCCCCTCCCCCCTCCATTCCCCCTCCCTCTCGAGAATGATGAGCAGTCCAGATTTTCTGCCCTGTGGGAAGCCCAAGGTCCTCCCACTTCTATCCAGGTCCAGGAAGGTGAGCATCCAAACAGGCTAGGCTCCCACAAAGCCAGTTGATGTATTAGGATCGAAACCTAGTGCCATTGTCCTTGGCTTCTCATCAGCCTTCATTGTCTGCCATGTTCAGAAAGTCCGGTTTCATCCCATGCTTATTCAGACCCAGTCCCGCTGGCCTTGGTGAGCTTCCAATAGATCAGTTCCACTGTCACAGTGGGTGGGTGCACCCTTCGTGGTCCTGACTTCCTTGCTCATGTTCATTAAGAACAGGTGTCCAGGGAGATGTCCCCAGCTAGTACCTTGGGCAACTGAGGAGAGGGAACCTGAAATGATCCTATCCTATAGCTATACTGATGAATATCTTGCATATCACCTTAGAACCTTCATCTGGCGATGGATCGAGATAGAGACAGAGACCCAAATTGGAGCATCGGACTGAGCTCTTAAGATCCAAATGAGGAGCAGAAGGAGGGAGAACATGAGCAAGGAAGTCAGTAGATTGTCCTTAATCTCACAGATATCAAGGTTATCAGTAGAGTTTCCAAATTGTGTTATTCTTAAGTTGTGATGGTACAAATGTTTATTTAAATGTTAAAGTGGAGAAAGCCGTCAATAAACCTCAAAACTCAGATAATAAAGATCAAAGGGGAAGCTGTTCCTATGGTTGATTTTGTCTCTTGGTTATATTTTCATGTCCTATTCCAGTTGATTGTAGCACAAATTTTACAAAATAATTTCAAAGATTACTCCCACTCTGTCACTCATTCACACCACCATCATGTCTTGTTTTCAAGAGCTGGAAATTGCAACAGGTTTGTCTGTGTGTGTGTGTGTGTGTGTGTGTGTGTGTGTGTGTGTAAAACAATTGTTAAAGAATGAGAGGGCTTGAAGTTTAGGAGTGTGAGGAACGCAGGCAGAATTGACTGGAGCAACGGGGGGGGGGAATGATGTAAATTCAAAAACTCATATATGAAATTTTCAAAAGATAAAAATGGTCAATAACAGCAACAGTAAGGGTTTTCTTGTGAGTTTGGAGGAACTTGGATGGGAGAATAGAATATGAATCATCTACTCTGAATTGTACTTGCTTAGCAACAGTAAACCAAGATGCTTTTAAACGTTAGAAGACACGATTTTAAATTTATGCAATCCCAATTCTACAAAGTAATGATGACTCTAGAGGATTATGCTAAGAGTAGGTAAAATGATAGTTTATAATGAAAATTCTTCCTTAACAGAATTAAGTAGGAGATTCAATGTGAATTTAATCCACAAGGAATTCAGGAGTTGAGGCAAACCCCACCATATTAAGAGTTTTGATGGTGGCAAGTTTATTGTTGTTCTTTTTCTTTTTCAATACGGAATAGTTCTGAGTGATAAAATTAGGTGTGGAACATCTTAAGTTCCGTGTCAGGAGAAACACATTATTATATTGCTAATCAACTATGTTCTTTTCTGCCTCTCTTGATCCCTTTTATTGAAAGTATTCTCTAACATTTCTCAAATTGTGCATACATTTGGCTGCCAGAGTACGTCCAAGCCAGGTGCTTGAGAGCAGAATTGAAGGTTGTTCTCCTGGCGTTCAGGAAGGACTATGGAGAGACTGGGGAAATGCAAATCCTTTTCTGCCGTGTGGTAAGATAGCTTAAGAAATCTAACAGTTTTCTATTTTATCTTTAATTGTTGGTTACATATTTGTGGGTTTAAAGCTTCAGGCAATTATGATCCACGGTGATTTATTAGCCTGATAAATTTCCCTTGAGGATTCAGTATAAAATGTATTCCATATTCAGCCATTTTAAAACTTTTAGCTAATCAGTTAGCCACAGTTTGACACAAGTTTTCTTTTGATGTCCAAGCCTTTCTCCTTTTCCAGGGATGGAGGATGCATGGATCAAACACAGACCACAAGCATCCTTTTGTATAAATTGCTGACCACTGCTTATCAACCTCTTTCTGCCTTTTTACATAAAATACAGACTTCAGCGACAGAAGAGGCAATATATCCATGACTAACTAGAAAATTCTGCCATATTATCAGATTTTCTATAATATAGAATATTGAGACATTCATATTAAAATGGGAAAATATTTTGGTGTTGTCAGTCAAATATTTAAAGCCATTTGGGTTGCATGACAAGTGTTTTCTACTATAAAACCATTCCCTCATGACTGTCCATTGGAAGGTTTCCAGAGTAACTTAAGGAACACATCTCTCTCCATCACTAAGTGATCATGCCATCATTGCTACACACAATAGCGTTTCATTTGTTCCCTACAGTGGAGCTAAGAATGGAAGCTTGATTAGAAGACCGGTTTCTCAGTTCACAGCGGATTTTACTTAATTGATCTACTACCTGAGGTTATTGATGAGAACTATAGATTTTTCCAGCTTTGTTTTCTCACCATGTGAGGATCTTTTTAACTGTCTAGAGTAAAGAATCTCATTTATAGTCTCACTTAGTGTTAATAGAGCGATTAGAAAGCCGACAATTATTCTGTTAGCCACCTGTTTGGTTCCATAGCCTGAAAACATCTTGTAAAGAGATTTTGATTTGTTGCCAGCTTCCATAGTTCTCTCTCTAAGCTTATTCTCTTACTTCCTTAAATGTTTTATTTTGACCGATTGGTTTTCTTGCTATGTTTGCCTATAAAATATTATACACAATGTTTTCTCCTGCATTGTCTGCATTTTAAGCTGAGGAAACAGGATATTTAAAATTAACTTTCCAAACTGAGGATGTAACAGCATTAAAACAGAAGAAGAGCTCACATTGCATATACTATTCTATCCCCTCTTCCATTAAACTTTGTTTTTTCACACATTGAGGGATCTTTCTACTTCATTTACTTACCAATATTACAAAATTTATCCAAAATATTATCTCTCTCATGTCCTAAATATAATTTTGGAAATTTATTATACACATCTATCTTGTAAAGCCATGAGTTCCATCATCACGGGATGCCTTCTGAAATGTGCATTTGCCATTCCCAAATTTCCAGGTGTCATAGACCATACTTGCTTACACGTAGACCATAAAGATCCCTATGTGTATATGAGGTTGTTGTCTGTTAGCCTGGTGTGCCAGCATTCTCTTCGCTTTCTCTCTCTCTCTCTCTCTCTCTCTCTCTCTCTCTCTCTCTCTCTCTCTCTCTCTCTCTTTCTCTCTCTTTTTCTCTCTCTGTTCTTCAAACCTAGGACCTTTATAGTTATTCACTGTACCTCTAAGTTACTTCCCCATAATTGTTTTTAATCAGTAGAAGGAGTATACTCTAAGACAAGAATAAAAACTAGAGTATGGGAAATATATAAGGTACAAATGTAGTCAAATATAATGCATCATACATAGCTGTATATTCCATAATTTTATAAAACTGGTATTTTGGTGATGTGGGAGGTCCTTCTGTCTGTGTGTTGCTTTTATTGGTTAATGAATAAAGAAACTGCTTTGGACCCATAGCAAAGCAGAACTTAGGTAGGCAGGGAAAGCTAGGCTGAATGCTGGGAGAAAGAAGGGTGGAGTCAGAGATACACCATGGATCCACCACTGAGGATAGATGAAACTTTGCTGGTAGGCCATGACCTTGTGGTGATGCACAGACTGATGGAGATGGGTTAAAATAATATGTAAGAGATTTGCCAATAAGAAGATAGAGCTAATGGGCCAAGCAGTGATTTAATTAATACAGTTTTTGTGTGATTATCTAGGGGGTCTGGGTGGCCAGGAAACAAACAAGTGACCAAGTGGCCTGCTACTACATCTTAGAAAATTTCTTCATACCAGAAACACATAAGCAATGTGTTGCACTAAGAGTATCTAGCTTTTTATAGTCTCATAAAGTCATCATATAACTACATCGTCACATGAAATTAAAAGTGAGTTATATTCAATTGGCTGTGAGGGCATGAGAAACTGAAGAAATGGTCCCATAATCCTCCTCTATTCCTCCTAAACAGAATGTTGACAGTGCACAAACTCAATCTCAAAGCCTTTTTCAAGCAGTCACAACTGTACTGATGAAGATGACAATCATTTTGCTTGGAAGCTACAATACAGGAAAATCTCTAAGCTCAGGAGTTATACAAAACTCTGCTATAACCCAGTTGATAGGTTATGCAACACACTGGACTAACTCAATGATTTATATCTTAGTTCTATGTAATGTGCAAAAAACTGTTACTACCAACTCAGTTGTATGAACCACCTAGGTTCAAGTAGGTACAATTTCTACGATTCAGAAATCTTGGAAAATGTCACTCTGTGTTCTACTTAGATCACATAAGTAGAAGCTTTGAGCACATTTGCATCCGGGACACTGACTAATAAAGCATCTATGTCCACCCTAGGAAGGGTGTCAGGAAAATGTTCTTGTGGCCA